GGGCAGATTGGGAGGCAAAGAAAATGGAAGGCTGGCATGTATCTGTTCTCTCTTCCTCTCTCTCCCTCACTTCTCCCTCCCTTTCCTTCTATCTTGCCCCTTTCTTTTACTCTCCCTCTCCCTTTTCCCTTTTCTTTCAAAATTCAGTCCAGGACTGAAACATTCCTGATCATACTCTATAGAAACATCATCAGAGACACAGGCAGAAGTATGTCTCCTAGATGATTCTAAATCTAGTCAATTTGTCAATGAAGATTAAGGCTCATAGTGATAGTTATTGTGTGTGTGACATTATTTTAAGCATATTATGTATATTGACTTACTGTAGACTCACAGTTGCTTTTATTAATACCCTGGCTTGCATCAGATAGCATTGTGGTATGCAACACTTATCTGCAAAGCTGACATGGCTCATGGGCTCATAATTCTAGATTGAAGATTTGAGCTCAGTCTGTCTGATACCCAAGGTCCAACCCACTGTGCTATAATTTTTTTGATACATTTCATTAGAATGCTATCATTGCCTAGCTTAGTGGTACACTCCTGTTATCCCATCACTCAAGAAAGATGAGACAGGAGGATTTGACTTCAAGGCTAGCCTGGGTTACATAATGAGGATTCTCTGCTCCACCCATTCATCCCTCCCCCTCTAACTCTGACACACACACAGATCTTTTTCCTGTCTCTATAGCTTTGCCTTTTGTAAGAAGTCAGAGCTGGAATCATACTGTAAGTCACATTTGCAGTTCGGCTCTGCTTCTTCATAATAAACAGTTTAGTTTCTGATTCACCTTTTCACGGCTTGATAACTCATTTAGTTTTAGTGCTGAGTACAACGTTCAGTTATTCATTTAGTCATAGGAAGATATCTCACTTGACTCCCACTTTACACAGTTACAAATAAGACCACTGGAAGCATCCATGGGCTGATTTTTGTGAGGACATACATATTCAGTTACTCTGGGTCAGCGCCGAGGAGCACAATTGCTGAGTTGTGCTGTAAAAATACATGTTTGTCAAAACTGCCAGGCTGACTCCATCCTGCCTGTACCATTTTGCATTCCCACCAGCAAGGAATAGGAATGTCTATTGGTCTATTTCTCCAGCATTTGTGATTGTCAGTATCTGGGTTTGGGCTATTCTAATTAGTTCCAGCTAGAGAACTAGAGTTTAAGTATTAAAATAATTTGTGACTGCCTGTGCACATGTGACAAGGAGAGAGGAACTGAGAGTGTATTAGCCAAGAACAGTGGGTACAAAGAGGACCAGAGACAGCACTAAAAACTAAAGAGGCACCTCATTTTAGTCTGCAATTTCATAATGACATATGAGGTTGAGAATATTTTCATATACCTCCTTGCCATGCAGATAGTATCTTCTTCAGAGAGGTGACTTTTGTTTGTATTTAAAAGTTTTTCATTTCTTTTTTGTTAAGTTTTAAAATTTGGTAGGTATATTTAGTTAACAGTTCTTTATTATATA